TACGAGTACAATTTTTTAAAATGGAAGGAATGGAGTGTCGAAGACCTGCCCAAACTAAAAAATTAGTTTTAGAAATCCTGTTAGAAACTAAGGAAAAGGAATCTTTGTTATTTAAGTCAAAGGATAGATCGCTGATGTGAACTACACCAGCTTCGAAATAGCTTTTATAATAAACTGTTTTATTATTAATGAGTATTTGTTTGTTATTCCAAAGAATATAACGCCAGTCTTTTTCTGAAGAGAACGTATCTCTAAATTCTGACCACCACTGCAGTAATTCTAGATAGAATAGAGAAATATTCAGTGGAAGGATACTAACATCATAATTGCAATGAAACAAGAAAAGGCCGCCAAAGCGTTCTAGATGATGTGTCAGATACCTTTTCCAGGTGCCATCATTTGAGCTAGCTATTCTTTTTAGCCATGCCAATCGAAGCGATATTATCATGCTATCAAAATCAATCATCTTTAATCCTCCGTTGGAGTATTCATTTATCGCCGATCTGCGTGTGACTTTATCACGACCATTCCATAAGAATTGAAATAATAACTGGTTTAACTGACTTACAAATTCTTTTGGGGTAGGTATTAAAGATGACACATAAACAAATTTCGGGATTAATAGAGATTTGATAAGTGTAATTTTGCCATAAATAGAAAGTCCTCTAGAGGACCAAATTCTAGTCAGGTTTTTAATACTGTCTAATCTTTCTATGAAATTCTTTTCAAGAAGCAATTTTTGATCATACGTGTAATAAATTCCTAAAGCCTTTATCGGTTCGTTAGGCCATTTAATTCCAAAAGGCTGTGCTTTGCAGTTCCTTGAAGAACCTATCCACATAGCTTCCGTTTTGGAACAATTAATCTTTAAGCCAGAGACAATCTTGAAATCATCTAACAGCCTAAAAAGAGCAGTAGCAGAGCTTGTGTCGGCAAGTATTGCTGTCGTATCATCTGCGTATTGAAGAATTTTTGTCTCCTCACTCCCAATAGAGATACCTTTGATATCTCTATTTTTGTCGAATCGCAATTGCTAATGTTTCTATAGTAAAAACAAAGAGGTAAGGAGAGAGCGGGTCCCCCTGCCGTACCCCACGTTCAAGATTAAAGTATTCAGATGAAAGTCCGTTGTTTATCACACAGCTTTGTACGTTTCTGTAGAACGTTTGAACCCAATGGATGAAATTAGGGCCAAAATTGAAGGATTTCAAACAATAAAGAAGAAATTCCCATTCTACGCTATCAAATGCCTTTTCAAAAACTAATCTTTAACATTCATTTATTACTCACCAACGTTCTTCCAAGACGTGGATCAAAAGTCCCAATGTTACTTCCATTTCTCGGGTTATTATTATTTTTACTAGCACGCAAACATTCACGTGCATGAGTTCGAAGTCTTCGCTCTAGTCTCGCGCTGTAGCTGTTTTGAAAATAAGGAAGAGCTTTTCTGGAAAGTAAGTTTAAAAAATTGATACATTTCCACTGTTCTTGATCATACCTTGACTAAAAAAGAGAATTTTTACCGCTACTTGGTTGATTGCTGTGCTTAAGTTCGATCGATCCTGACGATGTCGCCGTTCAAGTGCAACATCGTCATAGCAATCGATTGCTCAGTCCCAGTCCTTTGATGTCATGCAGGTATTCTCATTAAAATGTATTTCCCACGTTTGTCCCACGGAACTTAAAAAACACAGACAAAAATTATCCACTTATTATTTTATTTGTTGCTACGATACCTAAAATTACAAGTCTGAGAGAAAATCTAATGGAAAACGAAAGTTCTAAACATCGAGGTATACATCAAACAAGAGAGCAAATACCATAACAACGCATCACGCGGACTGTCCTGTTACGAATAGTAAGTTTGCGTGCTTTCGCTTGCTTTCGCTAAGAATAACATTCGGTCATCCAAATCCTATCCTTTGTTTTTTTCATAAAAACACAATGGACGCGGTAACCAGAATTATCGGCTTTTATCTTATGACTTGAAGATTCGTACGCTCAACTGCAATTTATTCGACATGATGGTTATCTTTGTGAAAATGTGTAAACTGAGATCATGTGAAGTCCAACAGAAGGAATGGTTTACTGGCGGCTACAGGTAAATAATCAGAAACCTATTCGTTTACATGTTGCTATTAATAGTTTGTTACGTACGTATGTAAATGCTGGTGTGTTTAAGTGTTCGAATGTAGCCTGAACGACAAATGCATGAAAGTGTGAGAAAACGTATGTGTTGCACGTTTTAACCGAGCACAGATTGGGCGATAATCTAACGAATGTAGAGCGATAACCTAACGATTATAATTTCAAAGGACATAAAACAGAATAATCAAAAGAACTTCAATCATTAGACGTCCTAGAATGCAAATCTAACGACTTTGCCGAACGCCTTGAACGTCCTGGAACGAAATTTCGAACAACTTTTTCTAACGGTTTGAACGACCTTGACCAACGCCTTTAACGGTTTCTCGAATGCTTGTAACGGCAAGGCAAATTTTTCTAACGGTTTTACTAACGGCTTGAACGCTTTCCCAAGCCGTTTTAACGCTTAGTTAAAGGGTTCTTAACGCTTCAAGCCGTTAAACGGTAAACCGTTAGTGTACGTTTTCCTGGAGAAGGTCACATATCATTACTGGGGTGGGCCTTCTTAGTGCTTCCCAACCTGGTAGGATGTTGCTTTGGAGCAACGACAAACGGTGCATTCCCTTTCTAATTTGTTAACACATGGCGACGGGTTGGACGGAAGAGGACGCCTCTGCCTTTTGGCAACGACGTCCCACTGATAGTATTCTAAGGTATCCCGTGTCCCAGCAACGGCAGGAAATTCTGCAGGAGAGACGTGATGTCCGCAGTGACACAATGGAAATAAAACGTCACACCTTCATAACTCAGAATAGACTGCAGGTTGCCGATGACGAATCAATCATATTTACTCCGGAGGCCGAAGACATACACTTTTGGGCCCGGTTCCAGAGTTGGACCTTCTGCGACGGTTGTGGCAAGCTGTAGCCCAGGAAACTGCTACCCGGTTTTCGCCGTAGAAACCCTTCTCCGTTGACAAAATCGTGCAAATGCTCCACTGCCGTCTACAAAGTACCGGTGGTGGATGACATCCCCCTCATCTTACGTAATCTTACTGAAAATTACCTGCGTGTTCTCCGCCCTCTCACCATCCATTGTGGCGACAACGAGAGAAGATTCAATAGCTACCGTCAGCGGACCGGCCCTACCGCGTCAACTGGTCGGAGCAACCAGTCCACGAGAAGATCGCCAACCTAGAGGACCCCCGCCGCTGAGCCAAACTTACTGCCGTCTTGAACCTCTTGGTGCAGAAGGATGAGCGTTCGTACGCTAAGTTCATATCCATGCATTTACGGGGCTATTGACGTCCATACCTGTACGAGATCTTCTCTTCCAGAGATTTTGTCGGCGTCGAGTGTGCTCTCTGGCCATCATTGTACCCCACCACCGCCATGTGTGAGAGCGTCTTGGAGGGCCAGACCAATCGAACGAGTGGGAAGATATCCTTATGCATAAGATCCTCTCCGCCGTTCCCGACTACTGCCTCAGCTATGAACTCCTCCAGTACCAATATGATCGCTGGTTGTTTAAAACCATAACTGGGGCCGTTAATTCATCGAAGCAATCTGGCTGCTCGCCGAACAGAAGCCTTGAGAACAAGACCTTCTCCCGTTCCTTCTGGCAACACCAGAATCTGTATCTTATAGATGCCGTACGGCAATACAGTTATCCATCTGTCTTCTTGACCATCAGCCCGTACTAGTGGACCTTTCCGTTTCCTCCGTTCATCCAAGAGCTGCGGGACCGGTATGGCAGAGACGTGACCGAACTAGCTTCCCTGGAGACGCTGCATATTGGACACGTTCTGGAGCAGGTTGCACGTGGCTACCAGAGCGGCGGAAACTGCAATCACTGGAGAACGTACGTCTTCGGGAACAAGGACCACCCCACCATGGCCAACGTCCAGTGCTATTTTTACCGGTTTGAATTCCAGAAACGGGGGACACTCCACCTTCATATGCTGCTGTGGCTTCAGGACATCGCCGTCACCCGCGCTGATCTCTTAAACGCAACCGTTCTGTGTGACAATGCAGAAGACGCGTTTGTGGTGGCGGATACCCAAAAATCTGACAAGTCCTGCTTGAAGATCCATACCCACCCCACTTCATTCATCACCCTGCCATCTGGGAAGAACACCATTGAGCTCCATCACACCGCTGATGATGCAGACCGTCACATCTGCGCACATCCTACTACCATCCTAGGGTGCCTCCGATGTCGAAGTGACGTACAACTGGCGGACGGAAAAGCGTTACTCCTGAAGTATGTCAGTTCGTACGTCACCAAGATGCACGAGTCTGCAACCTCCGAAGGGCTCTATTGCAATGACGTGACTGGTTACCAGGCTGCGAACTCCTTCTTACGTACAGTCACCCCTCTTGAGCTGGAGATGATCTTCGAATTAACCTCCACCAAAGTCTGCTGGACAGACAAGATGACTCTGCTCTTCAGACCACCCTTCCCTGGCCAGACCGACTCACCCTTCCCTGGCCAGACCGACTCCAATAAGGCCTACCAGTTCTATCTGCAGCGCCCGAGATCGGAAGATGATCAGTCTCTCCTCTTCTTGTTGCGTACGCATAACACCAGCACGACGAAGCCCAAAGCATATGAGGGAGACAGATACTTGATAGGAGTGAAGTTTGTTTCAGTGTTCAACCCTGTTTACTTTTATCAGTATCTTATCGCTCCCCCAACGAGCTGCGCCATCCAGAAGAGGAATCCATGCCTAAAAGTATCCATATTTTTCTGAAGCGGTTGCTCTCCTTCCTGAAACGTGGCAATCGCCAGACACCATCACCAACCAGTTTCAGCACGAGGGCCACAAGGAGTACTTTGTCCGCACCATTGTCGCGTACGTTTCTTCTCTGCATGATGTCCTGTATCTGTGGCGTATTAGAGTTGTCACTGGAGACATGTCTTACATGTCCACTTTCTCCTTCGATCGTCTGTATACCCTCTCCAGCCACCAGCAAGCCATTCTTGCAGACATCACTGGTGCACTAACCTCTCGTCGAGACGTGCAAGAGAATGACACACACCATAATGAGGAGCAGGGTAGCAGTTGGCGCATGTACAGGGTCCTTCTTGGTAAACCAGGTACTGGCAAATCCCAGGTGCTAATAAGAGCCATCCATCACGCCATCGAAAACGAAATGTCTGTCCTTGTCGCTGCCCCGGTGGCCCTGCTGGCTCAGGGTTACCACAAAATCTTCCTTGCCGACATCGAGACAGATACTCTACACGGTGCTTTTAATATCCCCGTCGACGGGCGTTTTGCTGATGACGTCAACTATGGCCTCAACTAATTCGACCTGGTGGTTGTAGATGAAGCCAGTATGATCTTGGCTCCCACCTTCCATGCCATGGCCACGACCTTCAACAGGCTAAACCTGCGCCCCGTGGTAGTCTTCGCTGGCAACAAGCATCAGCAACAGCCTCTGCAGACCGAAGCTGGCCGTGTGACCGCAACCACCTCTATTATCAATGACACGTACACCTTTCATTCCGGGAACGCCATCAAACACTTCTTATACCAGCAGTTCCGGATAGTGGACGAGGAGTACGGCAGGTTCCTCGACCTCATCCGCTACACCCAGCCCACTTGGCAGCAACTGGACAGCGTGCAGCAGAACATGATCCTCTGTCCCGAGGGTGACCTGTCCGACAACGACATCTGGCAGGCCTTCATGTCTAAATATGCCTCCACCGTCACGACCGTCTCCAGAAAAGGTGCGCAACGCATCAATAACATCGTCGTGGTGCATCTCTTCGAAGATCAACGTCCTCTGTCGAGAATACCGTGTGCATCCGTGGCCGAGAGCAGCCCAATCTACCCGCTCAAAGACATGAAGGTCTTGTTTACTGAAAATCGCGACAAGGCAGCCCGGATCGTCAATGGGCAGGAAGCGACCATCATCTCCGCTCAGAACAACACCATTGTTCTCCGCCTGCCCGAGGGACAGAGGGTCTTTGTCTACCCGGTGACCCATATTGTAGACGACATGCCAGTGACGTACTACCCATTCACGCCCCCCTACGCACAAACAATCACCAAATCTCAAGGGCAGAACATCAAACATCTCATCGTCTGGCTGGACAGTGACCTCGTTCCTGCTGGAACAGCTTACGTGGGCTTATCCAGAGTTCGAAAACACGCTAACATCTTTCTACAACCTATCTACTCACACCACGTCACTCCAGTTAGGGTTTAGACCACCATCATATCCATCTTTCATTCTCTTGTCTGCTCTTCTCATTTCTCTTTATCTTCTTCTCTTCTTCAACAATTGTCTCTACTTCTACGCTTTTCTTCTCTTGTTTGAAGACTTCTCTCTACTTCTGGTACACACCTTTCTCATGTTCATCTCCTGTTCTACTCATTTTCAGTCCATGCTCGCAATCATAGCCTTGTATGGCACGCACAGACATTGTAGTTCTTTCCAAGGACAGCTCTTGTGTCAGATAAAACGAGCTGAGGTAATCAACCCTTGGGGAGTGCCGTAAGAGAGCTGTGTTTGGAACCTGTCGCTCATGTGCATGTCGATTACTCCCTCTCTAGCGAGCCTTCCTTTTCGACTCTCGTAAAGTGCTACCTCGTCGTGGTGAGAGTCCCTAGTAAACAGTGCCTCTGGCCTCTTACCGCCACTACTGCTGAAGCTAAAAGCACTTAACCCACTTCAACTAATAGACACTTGCCATGACCATTGCATATCCCTCCATGAGAACAGTCCTACCGACCAACCCGTCAAAGACGCGCAAACACTAACTCCACACTTGTTAACGCATGCTTGTTCATTTTCTTGCAGATATGGCACAGCAGTCAAATGTAAAGAAGCCAAACTACAACCGCCACTTCCCTAGAAGCTTCATGCCAAATTACGGCGCCGCTCTACAGGACCTCTCACACGAGAAAATCCTGTCGAGACTCAAAGACTTCAACTGCGCGTGGCTATCCAGACCAAACATTGCCATTTCCGAGATGGCCCAGACCATCAAGGACAACTGGCCGCTGATAGAAAAACACAGAGGCAAAGTATTCACGCGCAAGTTTGTTCAGGACCTTCGCGAGGTCATCCTCCCCCTCATGGACACCTACGCTATTCTAGATAACAGGGACAACAGTACACATGATCCGCCTACACATGACGACGTCCTCAACGCCCTGGAAGTCGTCAACGTAAATCCGGAAGTCGAAGAGCCCATGGTCACTTCCTTCAATGCGGCGGGACCTGTGTTGATGACCAATCAACACAACGTAACCAACTTCGCGCAGGAGGCAGTCAGGAGTCCCGCCACAGAGGACTTCAAGGCAAACCCCAGTAAAGATAGCATGATGAACTATTTGTTCAACTCGATACTGATGAAACTTAGGGCAGTAGAACGGCGCACCTCACTGTATGACCGCAGCCGCCTGGCAGACCGCGACGCTCTCCCAGAGCCAAGCAGCCGTGCAAACTCCTGCACGAGACGGGCACAATCATTGCCCGACCCCGAAGAGGACGAGCCTCAACCAGCCACTACACCAAGCCGCCCTAGACTTGGTGAGCATCAGCATTCCGCTTCCCAGTCTTGGCGGCAAACTGGCCAACGGCAAACCCTCGCCGTCCAGGAGGAGGACGTGGACGATGAAGAGGACGACGAGCCCGCTCCTTCATTTCTCAGGAGAACTTCCACGCCCACATCCTCGTTCAGCAGCAGGGGGTCCCAATGGCGACAATCCACCTTAAGCAGCCTTGACTCTGCAATAGATGTAGAGGACCAGCAGCAGTCGGACGACGAAGTAGAGGACGTCCCCAGACCTGGAAGGAAGAGACCAAAACGGGCGCCTACTGCGACAGTAACTACCGTGGAGCCAGTGGCCTCACCCGCCGCAGACAACGAGGTTACGGGGAGACGCGACAAGAAAAGGCACAAGAAACGCCACCGCCAGGCACAAGTGGAAGACGAGGTGGAAGAAGACATCCAGGCAAGCCTACCCAGCTCACAGACCTCATCAGGCCGTTTCTCCGGAAAAATGGTTCAACAGGAACCAAAATCAGCGAGCCGACTACGTTGTCAAATTTAACAGGCGGTCTGTTGAAGATGCTTTGAAAGGAAAGACCATACTGATAGCCAATTTACCCCACACTGAGTAACCCGAGTTTAACGAGTTCTCTGTTAATGTTGCAAGCATGTTGAAATCCATGGAGAACTGGACAAATAGCTTAGTTGATACCATTGTGCGGGCTGCAGAGGCACTACTAAATTGCAAAGACGCCATTCAAACAATGCCATCGTTAACGGTCGCTTTAAGAAAGAAATTTCTTGTTGGAGCTCAGAGTTGCAAGAAAGGGATGTATGAATGCGCAGTGTACAGTGATCATGTAACTTGTGCTTACTCTTGTTACAAGTTCAAAAAACTCTGCGAACACAGCTTAAGCATTGCCGAGAAAACAGGTATGATTAAGGAACATTTACATTTCCTTCGAAAAACATTGAGGCGTAAGGCTCCTTCCTTCTTCCTTCCTTCTGCTCTTTTATGCCAAAATGGCGTTCATTTGAACAAAGCGGGCAACTATGCTGTTTATCGTAGCTATAGGGGAGAAGTTAGCAACTTTTTCTGACGCTCAGTGACAGATTCCAACTTCTCTATCCAGTCATGCATTCTACATTCGTTGTACTTGTCCTTTGTGACGGACACGAGTTTTATAAGATATTGTATTTATTTTATGGGCCGGTTTCTCTTTCTCACCTCTGGCACTTTAACATATTCACTGCGGAGTCTCCAAAAAAGTTAAAAATTGCCAAACATGCTGCTGATTTTTCTTTTAATGCCGGTTCCATTTTTTTCTCTCTCCAATTTATATTTTGAGCAGAATGCTACTGGATTAGAACCCCCACCTCCCTCCCTACTCACGATTTCACTATTTTCTCTCCCATACCAACGCCTTGGGCTTATTTAGTCAAGTTCCTTTGCTTGTGGTCTAGATTTAACTTTTATTTGCAGGAACTTATACAGTTGCGGACCGCTGGAAACAATCACCACAGTAACCAATCAACTAATAATTTTTACAATAAAATCTTGAACAGCACACTTACAAAGTCCTGTCTGTTTTGGGGGTGCAAAGCAGGAAACCTATAGACAAGAGTTTGTGGACTAACCCTCCTCTCTTGCTCTCTAGGTTTAGAAATATCATGATCTGGGACGCTCCGGCCTGGAGCCTCGCAAGCCCTGAATTCACGCACGGCTTTTCCAAGCGGCTGATAGTGCAAGAACACTGGGGTTTCTTACCAGGGAACATAACCATGTCGGCGAAGACCAGCAATTTGACGCTGAGGCGACTTGCTTGGTCAGTGAAGCAACGACCGCTGGCTGAGATATGAGCAGAGCACGGCTCCTTAACCTCCGCTACGCAGCCATCAGTTACCAGAGTGGGTCATTCTGCCCACAGTATCTGGCTTCCGCCATGGCAGAGTTTGGCGTGAACTTCGCCACTTTTGAGGCATTATCGGCAGACACCTTGGAAATGCTTCACGCCAGCCTCAAGTGAGGTTGGAGGCAGGGCGACAACTCCAGCGGTAGCAGCGAGGAATCCAATGAACCCCTCATATCCTGTCCACAGAGTGTTATGCAGGAGATAGGCAAGTCCAGCGTGGAGTCTTCTTCGGAGGCTGGAACCTCCCAACAGCCACCAGGGGACAGCCACCAGGGGACAATGCTCTGTGCTCTTTTTGCACGGCTGAGCAGTTGGCCCAGCTTGGAAAGCAGTGACTCAGAGGACCACCACCATGGAGAGACTGACGTAGAGACCACCTCAACGACAGTGGGAAGCACATGTGCAGCAAGGCAGAATAGAAAGACTTCCTCTGTAGGCAGCAGGAGAGCCAAGGCGTTCCGTGAGGGAGAAGCAACGGAGGGTAGGGAACCAGGTAAAGAACACTGAAAAATAGAACCAAACTTGATTATCACTCCCACGATACCAGCTTCGTATTCTATATCTCAGGAGTGACCATTTTCATTTAGTGGAGTTGTGCGCACACGCTGAGACAGTCACAAACATTTGTTAGCAAAGGAGGAAACTGCTATCAGAAATGATAGATTTCTTATGTCATTCTTCTTATATTATGAAAGTGCTAGCAAATATGTTGCAAAGTCTAAAACAAGAGATTTCCTTGCAACAAGAATAACAAATATGGAATCAATACCCCCAAGAATAAAAAAACTGAGCAAAATTTCATATTGGTAAAGGAACAAAGGTACACAATGATTTTTGGCATCATTTTTACGGCTAAAGTTGCAAAACAGATGGGCCAGCAAATTTTTGCG